GAATACTTTGAATTTTTTGCCAAATAAATTGTAGAACAAGGATTTCAAGCTTTTCCAGCACAGAGTGTTGCAGAACAAACCTCAGTCTGGAAACCCTCATGCACCTTTGGCTAAGAGAACCAAGACTGGCATGTGCATCTCAGACAGAAAATATCCAGAAGGTGTTTTTGCAGTGCTCCTCTCTGTGAAAGCTGAACAAGGCTAACGGAGTGCTACAGTTTTACTCCAGAATAAATTACTGTTGTTTGCTATGCAAATCTTATGATTGTAATTAGGCTAGGATTTGGACTGCTGTGTACACTGATCTTTGTTCCCTCTGCGCATGGGAGCTAATTCTAATACTGAAAAACAGCGCAGTGAATGCCAGGGTCTGCTCAGCCTCTGATCATTTCTCACAGGATGCATTTGCTCCAAGTGGACAATTGAAAAGGAATGATTTACCTCTGCCTTCACAGGGAACATAATTGCACCACGGGCATCTTGTGGGCCACTGAAATGTTCAGGTACTGTGAAGTCTTGTTTGAAAGCGGGGGTCAGAGAAAACGCAGGGAGGAGGTCCTGATAGGCATCTAGTTTTTAGCAAACTGGTTTTAAAAAGTGATGTTCTGCTGCTGATTGGTTAAGGGTCTGGTGGCATGTGTGAGCTATCACAACAGTGATTGCAGTTCCTAGTATGGCTATGTATAGCTCCCGTTATCTGTGCAGTAGGGCTCTGTGTAACCGCAGCCCGTGGCTCCATGCCCACACTAATGAGCTCTCCCCGAGGCCGGGCTTGTGCCTGTGGGGGTGGCACGGTGCTCCAACCGTGCTGCTGTTTTGGAAACCAGTTTGTTGACTGTGCTCAAGTCCAGCTTGCCCAAGCTGCCGTGCCAGCTTGGCTACCGCTGGCTGCGGGAGCTCGTCCCAGTGCAGCGTGGCTGGCCCCAGAGCTGTCTGGAGGACGAGGCAGCTGAGGCTGCCAGGCTGTAGAGGCTGCAGCAAAGGAAAGCTGTCACCTAGACCTGGACTGGGGCGAAGAACCAGCATGGTGAGGACGGTACAGGTGAGCCACACTCACAGCCCATTCTCCTCCCTGGGAACACAGCTACCAGTGTCCAGTCAGCTCACGCGGTGGGAGTGCGTCCTGCGGGCAGCGGCTCTCAGTTTTGTGATGACCCAAAGAGCAGGGGAAAGACAGGGGTTGGCTGCTGCCAACCATGCCTCCCAATATGCGGGAGAAGTGGGAGCAGAGGCATTCAGGGGCAGGGGTACCAGCTGGGGGTGTCAGGGAGATGTACCCTTCTCTTAGCCCCTCCAGAGGTGGTTGGCAGGGGTGAGCACCTCGTCCTTGCAGTGGCGGTGGTGGCTGCACACCTGGCCAGAGCCTGCACCTGCACCAGGGCTGGGCTCTTCTGCACGCCTGCCTCCCCACTGCTGCAGAGAGGTGCAGCAAACTAAAAATCCTAACAGCTACAAGATCTATTAGTTTTTACAGTCTTATCTATAGCTAGAAAGACATTATTTGGAATTTTTTCAGAATCATTGCAAGGACTGAGGAAGAATGAAGAAGTACCCTCTGGGGAACAATATAGCATTGTTTTTCTAAGGATATAGTTAATGACTCAAGCTGGTTTTTAACAGCTTGTAACTCCTGTAAATCTTGTTTATTTCTTTTTGTTGCCTACTCATCTAAATCACAACAAAGTAGAGGAATGGTGGCAGTTTTACTTTTTCTTGCATGCTTGCTCGTGACCTTGAATCCATTAATTTTATTTGGGTAAATACAATTTGAGGGAGCAAGGAAATGGAAAAAGTGTCGAGGTACCTAGCAAAAAGAAGAAGAAATCTATGCCAAAAGTGATTTTTCTGACCAAGTGTTTTTCATTTCTAGTGCTAATACAACAAAGTGTGTGTTGTTTCCATAGCTGGATGTACCCTATTTCAGAACAGGTTAGAGTGTGTTCTGAAGCTGTTGTTAAAAATATATATATTTGCTTAATTAGCCAAGTTTAAAAAGGGCATAAAATCTGTGTAAGCATTATAAACTGATTTTTGAAACGTGATAGAGTTGCGGCTCTATGTACATTCCTTTGCCAATGGCATCTATAATTTAGCATTGAGACACAAAGGATCATGACTTGGCCTGTAATTAACTCTGAGGAAGAATGTGAACTTGACAGTTTTGCACTGTTTGTTTTGGGGATAGAAATTACAAAGATCTCAGTTTCCTTCAGTAGCGTCTAAAGTTATTCTATTTGCAGTGCTCCAATCCTATTTTTCTGGTACACCTGGCAATTTTTAGAATGCAATAAATTTGCAGTACAGGGCACTGTAACATGTTGAGGTGAGGGGTCAAAAATACTGTGTAGTAGATGTAATTCAAGTATGCCTGTTAGTAAATAACTTAAGTTGTTCTAGTTATCTTCATGACCCATATAATGAAACATAGAAAACCTTAGAACAAGCATTGGACAGCTCTGGATGTTTCACAGAATTGCTGAATATTCTGAGTTGGAAGGGACCCACAAGTATGATCAAGTCAAACTCTTAAGTGTACAGGGACTGAACCAACCTTGGTGTTGTTAGCACCATGCTCTAACCAACGGAACTAATCTCATATTTTAAGGTGTTGGGCAGCTATGCCAGGTCAGAATCCCAGGCCGTGCTAACAAGGTGCTTAACAGCACTTCCAGCTCTGCAGGTGGTTTTGTTCAGGACTAGCTGATGTCTTTGTGCTGCTGCTGAGGTGTGCTGCCTGGGCAGCTGTCTGTGGGGCTGCTCAGCGTGGAGGCCCTTGCTCAATACCTGGTGGGATGCAAAACAGTTCCTGATTTTAGAGAGGACCCCCACTACTACCCATGTGTGAATCATTTCAGACCTTCTGTCTTGGATCTGGAGGAGCAAGGAGGGTTAGCTAATGAAGCACTGCTGCAGAATTTGGAGACTGATTCAAGGGATGCCCATTCCCCCCTACTTTCCCTTTCTAGCCCTCCTGTGAGCTGCCCACCCTGGAGCCTCAGACGTGGGCACAGCCCCGGGGCAGCTGGAAGGTTTGCTCAGTGATGAATCACAGAGGTATGGCATGGATTGATAAGGTCGTGTACTTTATGATTAGACACATCCTTCCTCTAACAGCAGTTCTTTGTCTCCATTTTGCTTTTGGTAATGTGTTTCGGCCGTTTGCATACAATGACTCTCCAAGCAGGAGCTGTTTGACTTGAGACAAAGTCACTATTATTCCAACCAGGCTCAGGAAGCCCTCATAATTTTGGTGCCCTCAGAAGGGTGAATTTCTTTAAAAGCCACTTAAGTTAAATCACCACGGAAATATTTTTATTTTCTTGTAGCCTAGCTGTAAAAGACTTTATAGTACATAAACAAATGTATAACAAGAAAAATCTGCCTGGCAGCTATATTGTTGGAGTTTTTGTGCATTTTAAGTGATGGCTGTAGAGGAGCATGTTCTTTTTAGCACTAGCAAAAAACAAGTCATGTTTTTCAGCTATTCAGGTATGCAGCCTGGGAGCCATGGCAAAAGAAAACTTCCATGGTCCACAAATTATTGAAAAATTCTGACTATTGTAGTGCCTGCAGCCTGACCAACACACAAGTGTATTTTCTCAGTTGGAGTTGATGGAGAGCCCAAAGAACTCATTAGGAATCCTTTAGGCTTATCTGGGGACATTTTGGACTAGACCCTCAAGGTACGTGATTTAGTCAAGTGCCTGCCTGTGTTTACAAACAGAAGCCTTTTTGAGGTACCCTGAATATGACGTTGATGATGCTACTGTCCTTTTTCAAAGACTATCTCTGATGTCTCTCCAGGCAGTGTCTCCCAAGCCCTTTATGCTCCTTGGTTATGAGCCCCTGTCTGTGATGAAGCCTCACCTCTCCTGCCCCAGTCTCTGCTGCAGTGCTCCCTTGGGATCTCTTGGCTGTTCTGGCTCCCCTCTGCTCTGTATTGTCACTCACTGAATAGACTTGCTCAGCAGAGTTTTCAGAAGGAAAACAAAACGAGGTAGTCATGGATGACCAATATCAGCTTTTTTTTTTAACTCAGTCATAAAGCATTGTTAGCTCACTGGTTTGGTTTCTACTGTCTATAAAAAGGTTTTGTGCAAGAAGTCCCCTTTTTCCCATTGCCCTGTGTGACACCAGTGCTGAGATGACCTTCTGCTGGAAAGTCTCATTGCTCAGTTTTGTCACTGCTCTGTATGAGTTTCCCTGGCAACCAGTTTGAGTTGCACTGAACCAAAAATATCTCACTGTGCTGGGGGAAAGTCAGTTTGCAGACATGTATTTCTCTTTAATGAATTCTCTGGATGGTCCGTGTGTTCAGCCTGAAGATGTCATTGTGGAGAATCAACAGCTGGGAGATGTGGTGTGCCCCTTTTCCTTACTTCTACAGGCAGAGCAGCCTATGAGGAGGCTGGCCCTGCATGATTGTCAGCTGAGCTGTGGCTGTAGGACCCACTGTACTCATTTCTCATGGTACCCCGAGGGTCTCGTCTTCTGCTGAGAACGGTCTGTGTGGCAGACACTAAGTCTTACTTGGATTCCTTGGATCTCTGCAAATTTCAGAATTTCATAATCACAGAATGGCTAAGGTTGGAAGGGACCAACCTTACCTAGGTTATTGCTAACAACTTTGTCCACATCTCTGTATAAATATATGCATCTTGCTTTATAGCTGGGCATGCACTGAAGTCCAGTTTTGCTCCCATCCTAGTCCTTAAAGGCACAGTTTGTGACACCTCCAAATGAGCATGTGTATAAACCTTTGGAGGTCAAGACACACCAATTTGCTCAGGAGAGAATGCACAAACTGGAGGTGTTATTTCAAACCTTCCTCGTTTAGTTTTGACTTGCAGATAATCTTTTCACTACCTAATGTAGAACACTGATGTGAAGAAAAGCATTCGTAATTCCAGATGTGTTCTCAAGATGACAAAATTAGAAGAGACTAAATTGGAAAGCAGTATGTCATTTTTAGTAACAGGTTCCCTTTTCTGGATTTGTAGGGTGTGAGGATTGCGGTAAAAGCCTTATAGGAGAATGCAAACTCCACGGACCACTCATCAGGGCTAAAGATAGGGTTATTCCCAGCCGAGCCCGTCTCACCCTACCTCACTACCTCACTTTGCGAGTGTTGGAGCTGAGAGCTGGAAACCAGCAGAGTAAGTATTTTAGCTCTTTTTTCCCACATTTGAGAAAGAGGAGACAAAAACACTGGCCTGTTTTCATGAGTAACTCAAGGCATAATCACTGGGCATTAGCACTATGAAGACTGTTTTCAGCTGAGCACAGCTAAAGCTCACAGTCAGCTACTGTTTTTTATGACTGATTTCTGGTAACAGACGCATAAACTGATGGCAGGACATTAGCCAGAGCTGGTGTGACATTTAGCTGTGAGCAACCAGTTAGTTCTGTTCAGTCTATCAATTTTTAATGAATGTTGAATTTGTATCTAATAATAACAGTCATGCGCTACTACTTTTTTTCTCTTTTCCCCAAGCATGCAAAACAGGAAAGAGTAATCAATGAAAGGTCAGAAGCAAAATGGTAAATTACATCCCTTATCCACCCCCTGCAAACTCAGGAGATCACAGCAGGGTAATTTACCTTTTGCAGCATTTTCAGTTCATATTATAGAAAGACTTTTGTTTACTTCTGAAAGCAAAGCAACTTGAATGCCCAAACATGAACAAAGGAATGATGTTCTTAGTGTGCAAATTTTCCGCAGCTACCTGTGTAAAATCAGTCCTGCCTAGATTGGTTTTCAGAAAGAGAGTGACAAAATGCCTATACTGTCACTCCATTGATCTGGCAGTGGAATAACTGGAATGATTAAGAAGGCTAATGGTGTGTTTTTATAGATTCTTTCCACTCTTATTAGAAGAGAACAGCCTCCCAAATTATGCCAAGAAGGAGAGGACTATGATAACATCAATTTGTAGATTGAGGAGTATTAACACGTTTGTGTTGCATACTCAGTTTAACATCCTGTCATGAATTTTTGGCACTTTTTATTCTATGTAGTTCCTATTAAAAAAAATCAATACCTATTTACATTCTTTTAAGTTTCTTCACCTTAAAATTATTTACTGGGCTAATTTGTCTAGAAAAATAATCCATGTGTTCTACACTATTTTGTTGATCTCCATTTTCACAATTGTAAGCATACAATAAGTAGATTGTGATGTCTGTGCTAATATTAGACTGCTCTTTGTTTTGTTCACAGTCCTTGGTGTATTTGCAAAGAAAGTAATACAGAAGAGAACACAATTTGGCCCTTATGTTGGTCAACTGTCTACAAAACTGACCTGCTATGATGAGAGCAGGCTAGTCCTGCAGGTAAAAACCCACTGCCTTTCTATGAAATGTGTATGTATCTTTAGCAGCTCATATTTATTTAAGTATTTTCATCAGTCAATTTGCCATCTGATCTAGTTCATTAATTGTACTTTTGATGTGTAAGTCACATTATCGGGCAGTACAGCATAACCTGAAGTACCCAAATGTTTCTGTATACTGTGTTTTCTAGCAATTTTCTTTCTTGCTTTCTAGTTTTACCATTTCTAGGGTGTTAGGCCTATCAGTCTAATAGCTCTTGATAAGCTTTTCAGAGAGCATGGCTGCTGAAGTTTCCTCCCAGATAAGACAAAAGGGTTTGTGCTTTATACCACACCACACCACTGGGAGGTTTGAGTTTGTGCACTGAGTGAGAGTGACAGAAATATGCACTAAGGCACTGGCTTAGGAGGGAGAAACAGTGCAGGGATAGGAAAGCCCTTCTGAATTAATTTTAAATGTTATTGTTATTAACTAATAATAATAGTTCATTTATATATAGACTTTGACACACAGTGCACTACCTCAGTGTAATCAGATTTAGAACTGTTATTTAGAGCTGGTATGTTGCTGTTGCTGCACATGTAGGTACTGACTGTTTCACCTGGACCATCGCACTATTATTTTTACTTTATCCAGCAAAAATCATAGCCTCTCAGGACCAGCCTAGCTTAGACAAATCTATGTGGACATCCTTTCCTGCAAGAATTCCTTGGGAGCGAGAGTTGATCGCAATCCTCTGGGCCCCAGTCTTTGCATTTTGCTGTCAGGGTCATGGCTGAGCACAGCTCTGTCATACAGTGAGTCCATGGTCAAGCTACAGCCTCTGTCAGGACTTCCCAACAGGTCAGGGTTCTTCCGGAGTTTGCATTTCATATCAGGCCCTCTCACCCCCAGATAGAGAGACACCAGCAGCAGCAGTCCTGTGACACATTCTGTGTCTTCATTTGAGCTTTCTCGAGAAGCCTGGGGCTGGAAAACACTGTGTTGTGAGGAAATACTTCTGAACTTTAGTTTGAGAGCTTCAAAGTAGTAACAGCTTCAGTAGTTGCTGTAAACTTGATTTGCACATGGGAATCATCTGCCAGGAAAGTAGCACCGTCCATCTATGGGATTTTCATAGCATGCAGATACCAGAAAAGATTTGTTCTTCTCTATAACTAAATATCTTCAGTCTTTTGATTAGACACTATTAAAAATGCAGAAAACGTGCTTCTCTAACAATGGATGGATGAGCTAAGCACCCAGTTCCTTCCTCTTCACCAAGCCATTGTAAACCACACCCTATCCTCTATCAGTCAGCACCATTTGCTTAAAAGTATACAGTGATAAGCACAGCTCTGGCTGATGAATGGACTGTTTCTTCAGAAGAGGAGATTAGAGTCCCAGATTTCCTACATGACAGCAGTAGCTGCCTTGACTTCTCCCTAGCATGAGTATGTGACCAAACTTGTCCAACAGGCAGGTGCTTTCATCGGAAACGTGATGAAGCTAGATAAAGTAGTTCCCAGAAGCAATGAAAATGCCACTCTTTTTTTGCAGTTACTTGCTCATTTACATGGTTAGTAGAAGAAATACAAACTGTGCTGGCATCAGGTGTGCAGCTTTGTCTCTCCATGTTTGAGACACTGTTGCAGAAAAGCAACTGTCTTATTTGAGGTCAGTAGTTTTTGCCTCATAGGGGCATTCTCTTGAGGAGGAATTTAGGAAGAATGAAGTAAAGGAAAAAGAAAAAGATATTTCTGGCACAATTGTTCTTTTGTATTTACTTTTGCATTGTTAAGAGGAAAAAGAGAAGACTGTTAAAATGCCATTATGTTGTATGTTACCTCTCTGGACTTATTAACACAAGCTATACAATTGTTCCGTGCAAAATGTAGTAGCATTGAAGCTTGAGATTATCAAGGGCTCAGGAAGTAGATTAAGGCATAAAGCTTATCTTTCTACCTGCCTGCACTTAGTTCTTATAATACTATCTTTATATAACATAAAAATGATGAACTATAAATGGGAAATACATACAAAGGCCTACAGTTATTTTAGTGGTGGGGTGCTCAGCAGGTATTCATTCTTCACTTTCTTTTGCACTCAGTGTTCATTAAGAGTGATCTACTTCAAAACAACCATGATTTCAAGGGACATATGACTAAGATAGGTAACTGATAGCTGTGATTGCAAATTAAAGAAAAGTGCCTCCATATAGTTTTATCATATTTGTCCTCCTGTTCTCCCCCTTTGTCTCAGGTGTTGAAAGATGGAGGGAAGTACTTTCTGGACACTCCCAATGAGGACTGTGGAAACTGGATGATGTTTGTCCGGCTAGCCCGGAACCAAGAAGAACAGACCCTTGTGGCTTATCAGCACTGTGGAGAAGTCTACTTCACAACAGTTAAGGTAGTTAAGCCTACATTGCTTCACCTCTCATCCAAAAGAAAATTTATAGACAAAAGATCTGAAAGACTAACTCTTCTACAATGAAAGATGGATTACATTCTGTCAGGAAAAGGTGTTGTGTACTTGCTGTTGTGGGTAGTGAAGAAATCGAGCCTAGGGAACATAAAAATCATTCACGATGCTAGTGTTTAAACTGAACACTCTTTAATCCCAGGTAGGTATATGGTGAGATTACTTGGCATTATTACATTCAACAGTACTTCATTCTGGAAATAACAAACAAATTCCTTTCTTTTATTTCATTTCTGGACACATGTTGTTTTCTGAGCACATTACTCTGTGCTCAGGAGCAGGGTGTTAAGTGAATCTTTATGTACAATTTTTCATGTTCGTTAAATCTGTAGACTTTTCAGCAAAATTTAGAATGCTGTAATGTTGCCATGAAATGATCAGTTTATGTTAGAGATTCTGGACTGCATCTTTGTCTGAAGAGAGAGAACAAGGTACTCTGTGTTTATAAATTAAACTAGAACATGCAGTCTTGGTTTTTATTGTTTTGGCCATTTTCTTTGGCAGAGTTTGTTTTAATCAGAAATAACTCTTTTTCACACTTGGGAAGTGGAAATCTATCTGTTGAACATAATGCTTGTGTATCATTGTGAGCAACATAAAAAAAAAAAAAAGATTAGTGAAAAGTAGTTCCTGTGAATTAAAATCCAGCATTTCAGTTTCATATCCAAGACTGGCACACATTTCTGTGGCATAGTAGTTATTACAGTTTCTCCTTCATTTTTGTTTCTCCACCTGCACAGTGAGAAAAATGTTTACTGTATAGTGGTGATGACAGAATAACATTTCATACCCTTAAAGTCTTTTACAATGGTATGGAGTATAGCTGATTTGGGGATTAATATCAACATAATTATTAAGAAAAAAAGAAAAATGTGAGATAGTATATAATACTCTGAGACATATTTAGGCTGTGTTTGAGATTCTCATGCAGTCCATACCATTTGAGATTTCAACTTGGTTTAGAATGCATGATATGCTTGTAAAATTGACAGGATTACTAATACTATATTTGGGAAGCATGAACTTTTCTAAGTAGTAGTTGTTATAAACTGGTAACTTCGAATTTCCAGTATAATTTTAATTCTATTGAAGCAGTTCTCTGCTGACTTCAGCAGAACTCTGCACATTGACGTTAATGGAGAGTTGCATCCTATACACTGACACAAAGAGTGCCCTAGGATGAGGCATGTGTCTTGGAACCTTTGCTGTGCTGTGTGTCATAGAGCATTACTTGGGTTTTGTTTCTTCGAAGTCCCAGCATCATTCAGGGTGCTCTGGCATCCTGTAGATTTTGTCCTGGTCAGTGAAAGTGATGGCCTTGTGCTACACTTAGGCACACCCTGCTGGTCATGCTGTGAGGCCAACTTAGGGATGATTCTGAAGATACTTTCTTAAAACATTTTTAATAAAGTGTATTAAGATGGGAGTGGGATTGGCTCCTTTCCCTGCCGTTTTTAGAAAGAAATGGGATTTCAGTGACATGAAACTACAGCTACTAAAGCAGACATGTAAGTGGCATCCTGCCACCACCATTAGCTTACTTTCTGACCTAATGGCTGCAATCCTTAGAAATAAGTGCTTTAAAGGGTATAGAATTGTCAGCAAATAAAAATCATCCATGGTTGCTGTTGGTCTGATCCCAGGAGAGTTTCAAGTGTGTGCTGCAGTTCTCTTGTCACTGGTGGCACAAGGACAACTTGTAGTGGATTTGGATACTGATATTTAATATCAGTTTTAGTGAGATTAGAGTTTTTGAATTACTGGACTGTTTCACACGCTGATGCACTTGCCCTCCACCAAAGCCACATTGACCAAGTCTCAGCTCCCCATAAAGGAGATGGCTGCTAGTCTAGGAAAGCTGGGCAGAAAGTCATGACAGTGTCATGCTGTGCATTGTTTTGTGGGTACCAGTCTCAGGTGTCACGGGCCAAGGTCCAAGACATCCTTGAACATTTGTCTCACAATGCATGATGAGCCTCCTAGTTAATGACTCTGCCTCATGTCCTTAGCTGAGTGGAGAATTCAGAACAAACCATTTCTGTTTAGGCCAGATGTTATCAAAATGTACACCCAACCCATACTGGTTGTAGTTAGCAAGGCAGGCTTGTGCTTGGGAGTTCAAAATTCAGTTTTCAGCATTAAACCCACAATTAACCCCTCACATGTCTACATTCACAATCTACACTGTCTTTCCTCTACCATGCTTATCCCACACCAATATTACAAAATAAATGGATTTTATGATGTTACATTTTCTGGAATAAGACTCAGCTGCTCTCTTTCTGGGCTAGTTTGTGGGGTTTTGGTGGTATGAGTTTATCTTAGTTAAAATAAAACTACAAGTACAGTGCAGTTTGGCTCTACCCTTGTTGCAGCAGTGTTGGTTGTAATTATAGATGAAGAAAATTGTGTACAGGGTCAGGGAGTCATATAAATGATAACCCCAAAGTTTAGTTTTCTCCTTTGCATTTAAAGAACTAATAGATATTTAGCCAGTGAGTGTAATCATGCCTCTTTTTTTCTATTCGCTGTATTATTGACTGAAAGTATTTGTCAGAAGAGGTCATAGTCCAGTCCAAGGAGAGATTTGGGCAAGCATGACTGGATGGGAGATTGCAGATTATGAGCTCCCTTAATCCTGTGGGGGAAGGCTTCAGTGGAAGGAGGGCAGAGTTAGAATAAAGCACACCCATAGCAAGCCTGACACGTTAGAGCCAGCCCATGGAAAGGCGACAATTTGGCTTGCAGTCCACCTATTGATCAGCTCTGCACCCGTGCTTGGTGTGACTTATCCAGGAGGCATCCAGGATCTTGTACATTCATGATGCATTTTTCCTTTGCCCGTGCCCTGTAGTTAAGTGTTGTGTCCAGTGGGCTTCCAGACATCAAGGAATGGGCATGGGATATTGCTTGGAAAGACTGTTGGCTGTCTGAACATCCCAGGCAAATACATCTTACTGAGCAAAGGTTTTGAGGATTGAGGCACCCCTCCTGCTACTGCCCCCCTCCCCCCCGCCCCAAATCTCTGTGCATACACAATTCCACTTGTAGAAATGGAAAGTGTCAAGCCCTAGTGGGCAGTAATGCTCAAAAAATGCTTGAATCTTGAAACCAAGTTACCAATAATTTAAACAGAGTCAAAAAATGCAGTTTGGGTAAGGACAAAACACTGCACACCCCTGCCCCTCCTATCTTTCTTATTGTTTGATTTAGGAAAATTAATACAAGTAAACATGTGCTGTTTTTTTTCCATTTGCAGCCAATTGAACCCCACACAGAATTGAAAGTATGGTATGCTGCCGATTATGCCAAATTTATGGAAGCTTCTGCAGTCTTCATTAAAGAAGAATCAGATGTCTCTCCTTTGCCTCCAGTAGCAGTAAGTACCCCTACAGTGCATTGAAGCCATCACTAGACATAGTAAATTATGGTTTACTTACATGTTTTCTCTGTTTATATAACTCCAGTAATGCAAGTGTAGGCCATTGAGTACTTTTAGCAATTTTAGTCAAGCAGCTATTCAGAGAAAGGTTGTTCTTCCTTGTCCTGTGTTTGTAATCCAATGGATCCATCAGATACAGTCAGAAGTAAGTGGCACCACTTGACGTATTGGAAGGCCTTAAGATGGGCACTAATCTGTGGATAACCAAGCTGTCCAGTCTCAGACTATTTTCACTGTTTCCCCTTCTTTTGCTCTGACTGATTGGCCAGAGTACCCACTAATTATTTCAGTCTTTCCTGTTCAGTAACCCCTTTCTACTAATTCAAATACCTTCCCTCTGTGTCATAGCAGAAGTCCTTAAACTGATAGGAAAAGTTTGTTAAGCGTTGAAAACATGGCTGTGAAAATCAATACTTAATCTAGGAAGAATGGGAAGAATGGGAAACAGGGAATACAAATGAGCCAGTGATTCATGTTCCGAGAAGGCTTGTGAAGCCTTGAGAATATTCCCCAGAAGGAAAGTGTGGAAGAGCCACAGCATCAGACACAAGTCTTAGCAGAGAGGAGGGCTCAGTCTGGAAATAAAGATGGAGTGGATACAGCCTCACCATGCTCTCCAGAGCAAGCTAGCCCAAGACTAAGGGAAAAGAAGGACAGTTTATGAGAAGCTTACATAAAAGGTAGATGAAGTTGAGGATGTACGTGGTCATGCTTTAATTGGAAGTACATTTCGTCAGTGATTCAAGTTTTTTGGTAATTGTTTTTTGTCAGAATTTTTATAATATTAGTATTTAAAGTGAATTCAGCTGGATCCAGGAGAGCTCTTATTTCCATGGAAGTAATGCTTCCAAACAATACATTGTTTGGGGGAAAAAAAAGAAGAAAAAGAAAAAAAAGTGAAAAAAAAGGCTTTAAGTCAGGATAGGCTTGGGATCCCTAATCCTTAGATGTTTCTTGTACAGTTAATGGAAGTCTAATGCCAAATGTCAAGCTAAGTGAGGAAGTCTCCCCTGTAGCCATGGACCATTGCTGTGTGGTAGAGCGTGGAGTCGGCCCAAGACACAAGGAAATCTGTGTGGCTTAACTACATTTTTGTACAGAAACCCATCCCATTTTTGTGTGGCTGGAATAGCAGATAAACTGTGTCAGTCCAAGGATAAAGTACAATTTACAACTACTTTTATGAGTAATTTTATAAATGCAAGAGACTTTGAAATTCAGTAAGCACAGATAAACAAAGGTGAAGGACTCAGAACTATTACAGTAAATTCTAAACAAAAACAAGTAAATCAGTATTTAGCTTTTTTTAAAAAAGCTTACTTTTCCTTTGAGTTTTTATTCCTGGAGAGAATCTATTGCCAATTGAAGAACTAGATGGTAGCAACCAAGGACAGTGATGGGTCTTAGAAAAGCACAGGAGAAGATGAGTGAGAAGAATATGACCTTTCCTTAGAATGATTAGTAAGAAAGACCTGTCTCTGTTCTCATTGCAGGAAGAGCCCGTAGACCCTTGGATATGTTCCAGCTGTGGAAGCACTTTTGCAACTTTTGCTCTGCTGGAATCCCACCAGTGCATCCATAAAGACCGAGTCCTTCCTACAAGGTTCAGACCACCAAATAAATTAGGACCTGTGAAAGCAAAAAGCAAACTCAAAGGGAAACTGAGAGGAGCATCATTAGGAAAAAGCATTACTCAATGCTTTGGGACCATTTCCTGTTCCTCTGCCGCAAAGTTCAGCTGTGCCAGCTCAGGAAGTGCTTGTGGTGCTCTCGTAAGGTTTATACCTAAATGGAGAAATGGTCGGTCTTCACTGCTGAAGGGAAAAGAGGTGAAGCAGCCAGATAGTTATCCCTGCCGACTTTGTGGGAAGATATTTGATTCCATTGACAAGCTCACAGTCCACACTTATGCGCACAAAGGGGAGCGTCCCTACAAGTGTTCACAGCACGGATGCACAAAAGCCTTCATTTCCAAATATAAACTGCTCAGGTACAGCTCTGAAGGCATTCCTTTTCTGCTGGGTGTGTGGGGGATCAAAAAGGCATCTTTTTCCTTTGGGGTGTTCTAGCGACAGTTAATCCCTGAGGCCCAGTCTTTATTATTACTGTTTTTGATAGAATTGGAGAAAACTAGTCTCCCTTAATTATGGTGGCTACTCATAAAGATGGTGTTGAGCAGTTTTAATCTACTCTATGCTTTATGATCAACACCTTCCTCCCCCCCACAAAATTTAGGCTTTTGCTAATAACCTTAGAAGTTGTGAGAATGCCTTCCTTTGAGAATTCCAGTGTTTTCAAGTTTTGAGTCTGCAAGAGTAAATGTACTAGAATGTATATAAAACAACATTTTTTTGTGTGTGTGTGTGTTCTGTTTTTTTTTTTTTCTTGTAGGCACTCGGCCACTCATTCTCCACAGAAATCTCACCAGTGTGGCTACTGTGAAAAGACCTTTCACAGGAAGGACCATCTAAAGAATCACCTTCAAACTCATGACCCCAACAAGATGGCCTTCAAGTGTGAAGAGTGTGGCAAGAAGTACAACACCAAGCTAGGCTATAAGAGACACTTGGCTCTTCATGCTGCCACCAGCGGGGACCTCACCTGTAGGGTGTGTGCCCAAGAGTTTGGTGGTACTGAGGTTCTGTTGGAACACCTCAAAAGTCATGCAGGGAAACCGGCTGGCAACATGAAGGAAAAGAAACATAAGTGTGACCACTGTGAGCGTCACTTCTATACCCGTAAAGATGTGCGACGTCACATGGTGGTTCACACAGGCTGCAAAGACTTCCTGTGCCAGTTCTGTGCTCAAAGATTTGGGCGGAAGGACCACCTGACGCGCCACACTAGGAAGACTCATCCACAAGAACTGCTGAAGAGCAGGTTGCAGAATGGTGACTCAGTGGGTCTCCTTGACCAGGTCTTCTCATATAGACTGAAGGAAGACACCAGCATGCTGTCCCCTCTTCCTGAAAGGGTCCCTGTGCCAAATGGGATTGTGAACAGTTCAGAAACAGAGGAATATAACTGTTCACATCTTCATTCCCAGCCAAGCTTACAAACTGCTCTTCCTCCTGAGTCTTCCCCTCACTTGCAAAGGATGGGCTGTGCAGACAGCCTCCCAGCTGTCCCTCCCACACCATGTTCAGCAGCCGTCCCTATCAACCTGAACCTTCATCAGCCTAACAAATATGACCTTAGTTCTACCTCATTTGCCGCGGGATCCCTCAAGAATCTACCGATAAAAGTGGATGTTAAAGGTTACAACGTGCACCTTCTCGAGGACCTGCCCTTACCAGAACCTCAGTCTCTCCACAAAATCAATATGGAAGAAGCTTCCTCAGGGCCTGTAGGGGATACTAACAAGTACCCAGTGCACAAAGAGACAGAGGCAGCAGCTGAAACTGCAAGCCTGCCATTCATGGATCTCACTCATGTGATGGGTTTCTGGCAGCTCCCACCAGGTGACAACCAGAACACTATTGGGGACATCACAACGGCATTTGGCTCAGAGGACCCATCACACAGGCTGAATGGCCTTGGCCAACAGCAAGGTCTTCAGCTAGCAACTGGTGGGATGGCCATAAGCCAGCTGCATCATCTTCCTCGCTCCTTTCCATCCACTACAAATTCTGTAACGTTGCCTCACTTTCACCATGCCTTCAAGTAATCATCACCCTGTGTGGGCTTTTCCCTTTTTTTTTTTAAAGACTTTGCTTCTTCCTTAAATCTGTTAGGACCGGGGTGGTTTTGTTTTTGTTTTGTTTTTAAGAAAAACTGCCCCAGATTTTTTCAAAGCATGTTATGAACATGGTAGTTAAATTCAAGATGTTAATAAACAAGAAGCTCTATTTTTCATACTATTAGTTTTTTAGCATATGACAACAGTAGAACTAACATATTTCCCTCAGCTCCCTCTATATTTTTGTTTCTTTTCATGCAAACAACTGAATAACTATCCTCAATGACAGCAAAGTATCATAACAGGCACAATAAAACAATGGCTGCTGCAGTAGGAGAAATACAGTTAGGGTGGATGGGAAGAGGGGGGAGATCACAAAGAAATCTATTTAATGAGCCATAAATCACAGCAGATTTGTACACATGGCAAATGTAACAAATGATTTATCAACATCAGATAGATTTCTGTTATGCACTTAATTAATGAACTTTATTAATCTTTAATTTAAATCACAGTCATTCCAAGAGTAAATATTACATCTTTGTTTCACCTTCTTCAGTGGAGATCATCACTATTATGATTATGTTAAACTAGATTTTGTTTTCTGACAGGCAGTTCAGCTATGTGCCTCTGCTGCCTTTTTCCTAGGGCTGGAAATAACTACCACTTCTGAACAACTGTGTAAGAACTGCTGTCTTGAAAACATGCAGTTCTCAGAATGGGAAGTGAATTGTCTCAAGTTAGAGCAAAACATTAATTTTCATTTAGAGCTGGATCTGTCAAGATATCAGACACCTCTCTCTTTCTCTCTCTAGTAAAGCACTTGAGCATTTGCTTAAATTTAAGCTTATGATATCCTGTCAACAGCTTGATTAATTTAACACTTAATAAAAAATCATGCATCCTACCTAAGGGGCCTTTATTCACCTTTTGTTGATAAAAATGGCCATTGTTTAGTCTGGGAAATGATTAATAATTGTAACCATCTGAAAATATGGGCTTTCACTGAAATCCAACCCTGGCCCAAGTGGGACCCCTGTGGAGCCAGGGACAGATCTATGCACAGAGGGGCTGTGGTGGTGAGCTGTTGCTAAAGGGCATGGAATGATTCACATGGACATGTCTCAATGGTATGACAGGAAAAGAAGTAGCTTTATTTTCTGACTCCAGTATTTATAGATTCTTGACAATGACCAGGGATTGGATAATTAAGTTACCACCTTCCCAATCACATGGTCATGTGAAATGTCCATCAAAGATGTTTCTTAGAAGGAATGTGTAAACACTTATGTTTATAGTTACTTTCCTGGGAAAGTAACTAAAACTATGAAAAACAAGATCAGAAGGCTTAGTTTTCAGGGCAACAGTGAGTTGACACTGAGCCCTGTGCAAAACCGGTTCTGAACCTGCCTTACAAGTACCAGCTGAAATTAGCAGGTGTGATGATGGTTGGGGCTGTTTTACTCATGGGATTTCTTCTCAGAAACATTGGGACTGCTGCAGTTGGACTCCAGCCTTTGTTTCTTGCAGACTAGAGCCATGGGGACTTCTGTTTGTCAATGAAAAGTTCCTGTGGACAGTATGTTGGTGTGACAGTCCTATCACCTGATGCATGAACAAGCAGAAATTGTAAAAATCACATTTTCCAGTAGATGACATTATTAAACAAAGAAACAAACTCTTCACAATTTACTTTGTTGCCTAACCAATAGTTACAAAAAAAAAATCATGGTTTTAGTGGATGGCTCAGTTATTAATGGATTCTGTTTCATCTAAAACAGACACAGAATTTCTGAATCTGAGTAAATTATCAAACTATAAGAACTACTCTTCTATTAAATCCAAAGAGACTTGATAGTACCCAATGGTCATTACTAATATAACATGGAGCAAGCATATTCTCTTCTCCCTCATTAATCACGGGAATATTTCTGGAGAGCTTCAAATAAAAAATAGTTTTTATGTGATTGCTGTTTTGCTGTTACTGAGCAATGGATCATTGTAGCTGTACAATGTCACTGAATATTCTTACAAGCTGATCGGTACTTGGATCAAGGACTGTCTTATTGCCGTTCATGAGAGAATATGTTCTGCAGACGCAGTGCTGAGGGGTTTTTTTTTTAATTTATTTTTATGAAAATGTTTGGCATAAGACAAACCAAAAGGAATTTTAAGGTCATTCCTGTAATGACAACAACAGGAGGGGAACAGGTACTGCACAGTTGTGTCCAGTGAGTAGTTATTTAAATTACAAGTTCCAGAATAGGGAAAAGGCTGCAAACAGTGTTATATGCATGTTCTACAGCTAGGCTTGTATTTTCATCTAGACTTGGAAAGGTGTGTGTGTGTGTGTATATATTCATTTAACTGTATTTTTTCCCTGTTTTGCAAATTGTATTTACTTGGCTTCAAGCGAGTTTATGTACCTGTAAGAAAACCCAAAAAACTAAACAACAACAAAAAATTTTTTGCTACAAAAAAAATTTATAGCACTGCCTGATCATACACATTTTGTTATTTTGGTTTGTGCTTTTATAAGAGGTGTCAGTAATTACTGAAAAACTTTGCCTTGAATTTAAATGTGGTGTTAAGAAGCAAACATTATGCAGACACTGAGCACATTCTTTCATCTGCTCTTTCGGCCCCCGGGGCAGGGTACCTGAGCTCAGGCTGCCAAGAGAGGTGCTGCTGCCTGATCTCAGCCTCTTCCAAAATATGGAAAGATGATAAGCATTTCTTACCAATGCACATGTAGCTACAGGTTAAAGACAGTTTCATTCAAATAAAAAGGAAGTAGTGACTTTTGATCCATTTTAAAATACTTCAAAAGAACACAGTGGTGGTGTCTGCAAGTAAAGCACAGAAGCAAACCTTAAATGTGCAATGCTGCTTAAACCCATCAGGCCATTCAATTCTCTTTTTCCAGATTCTTGACATCATAAATGTAGCAGAAGCTGATGATGTCCCATGACAAAGAAAGGCATTATTATTTCAAAAAGTTATGTTGTCAAATACAGTTGTTTAAAAATTCTTGCAACTCGAGAGACATGAGATACTCCCAAGTCATCCAATACTGTAAGTGGGACTGGACGTTCTGAATGTGTTTGTTAGGGAGACCTCTGTGAGCATTTCTCAGAGGCCATCAGTAGCTGAGGCTCAAGCTGCAGGACATCTCTCTGGTGGCACTGCCTTTGGCTCCTGCAGGGCTGTGACAGCACCAGTGTGGGGAGAGGCAGCCCCCCACATCCATTGGGGGTATGGTGGACGAAGGCAGCAGCCCAAGCACTGACCAGTCCTCCCTCTTTGGCACAGCCCATTCCTCCTCCAAATGTGAGAAGTGGATCTAAGGGCAGAGAACTGCCATGGAGAAGGTAGAATAGGCCATGGCACAGCGGCTAAGAGGTGGGACATAAAGATCTGTGTGATCTTAGGATATTTTAACTCGCATTCAAGTAGAGATAAAAATACTTTTATCTGAACTCTGCTTGAAAACCTGTAGAAGCAGAGCAGTATGTGGTGAATAAACAACAGCATCACTATAATCAAATCATAATGTAAAAGAACAAAATTTAGTAAACAATTCTCATAAAAAAATTATTATTTTTATGAAAGAATAAAAAATACCTGAAATAATATAAAGAAGCTAAATTTCTACTACAATGAACAAAAGACTGCATCCTCTGTGTAAACACAAGTAGATGTGTTGCTGAGTTCCCATCCTCTATCAGAAACCAAGCTCATTTCTTTTTCCTTCAGTTTTGTTTACCAACTTTTCCTGTTGGAACTTTCTATTTCCTTAGTCAATGGGTTGCTGTTACTTTCAGAGAGTTTTTCATAGCCAGTCTGAACTGGGGTGGTACATTCTGTATATTCATGATTGGTTCATTTCTAGTAGAATTTTAAAATGCTTTTCCTCAATACACCATTCCTGCCCTTATATTTTTTGGTAAGATACTGGAAACTAAGCTGTGAAATCCTACATTTCTATACACAGTCAGAAAATAATGCATAACAACAAATACAGTAAAATTTGCTCTAAATTTGAGGTTTCATTTATTTGGTTGTTAAGGAAAGTGACTGTGGTAACATTGCACAGTACAGTTTGGAATGAGTTTAGGGTTTTTTCCCTCTTCTTCCTGGACTGAAAGAAAGGCTAAGTAGCACTGTTTTAATATAGTGGCACTACTGTTGTGGCCGCTTTTTCTAACTCTAGGAGTTACAGTTGCTTCAGTGTTATCCTTTCTGTATCCATCTAATCACTATTATATGGAGTCTAAGTAGTTTAATTAAACTCTTTAAAATATGGTATTTATTACTGCTGTGTCCAACTACTTTTCATCTTCATTTACTTACTAAGCATTTAATAGGTAAGAAAATTCCTTATGGATTTTAATTGAAAGCCTTAATGAAAATTTGGGTTAAAAATGGGTTAAAAAGCCCTATTTGTTGCATCACTGAAAGTTTATGCAAGGTGATCCAAGGCTGAGAATGGATCAAGTGACCAAAAATATAAGAAGGGATATACCTCCACAACATTTCTGTCTTGTTGATCAATTTCTAAAAGCAGTTAAAGTGTTTAATGCAAGAATGAGATTTGGTTTTAGTCTGAACTCAAAGTGCTTTGAAGAGATGCACAGCATACATGGCCATTTATCATGTATCAATCACTATCATTTATTGTTTACTGGAAGAGTCTATTAAATATTCACATGAAGTTCCACAATGTTCACTTGTCTTGTTCAATATATCAAAGCATTAGGGGAAAGAAAAAGAAAATCACATGGTACTGGATCTTCCTACATTTTGTTAAAACCATTGAATGAACCTCTGGTAATGTCCACCCCTCTAGGCAATCATTTAATTGAATCTTGGCAACGGATACAAATAATCTCACAGCTTTAAAAAGGATAGCATAATAAGATTTGTAGCCTGGAGAGAAAAACCCTGACCAAACCTGAGCCAGTGAATTGCAGTTTGCTTATTTTATTGGTAGTTGTAACATTCCAAGGGGAAGTGGTGCTGAAAAATTGTGTTGCTTAAGATCCTCCATAATGTGTCAGAAGGAAGCCTTAACACGTCCTTGTCAACCAGTCACTCTTTTTTTCTGTTGTCCGCTTGTGGTCTAAAAGCAGCAACAAGACATAGACTTGTTATATCTTATTATAGAAAGAGCTTTTATGATTTACTCTGTTTCTCTAAGAAGATTAAATCTGTATTCGTGGGAAGGTGATGGAGCAGCTCATCCTGGAAACCATTTACAGGCACATTTAAGGATGAGACCATTTATTTGCACCACTCAAAACCAGGTTCTCACACCTGCTTTCTCAGCTAAAAATGCTCTTGGGTAATATTGAAACTGATTTCTCACATGCCCAAAAGTGCTCTGTAAAGCACCTGGCCAAGCTCAAGTTTTCCAGAAAATGCTGCAGCAGTTGCCAACACAAAGCACGTGCAAGTTCACCTAGACACCTAGACCAGTCTTTTTCACATTTCCACTGTCCTCTATTTTAGATGCTAGTGTGGATGTCTGTCCCAGGGACCTGCTGGGGGAAATGGCTGTCCCAAGCCTCTGCAAACTGGCTGCAACTACAGTCCCAGTGATACCTGGAATTGCCAGCATCCCTAGGGAAAGGAGGTGTCAAGACTGCTCAAGCCCCAGGTTTCGGAATTCAGTGGCTAAACCTTGAGAATGGCAATGGTATCAAAAAATCCCTGTTGGTGGTCTGCAAGACCCTGTGTGATAACCACAGGAATTACTATGCTGTTAACATAGTCCCAGGTAATGCAGATTACACCACTGGGTACTGACAGCAGTTTTCCTCTAGCTGGCAAAGGCAAGGAGGTGGGTAGAGCTGATAATGGCACTGTGGACTGGACACTCCACTGCAGTCTTCCCCACAGCTGAAGGATTCAGCCACTGATCAGTAGCAACCAAGGACAGTAGAACTGCACACAGAAGAACCTGCAACAACTTTGTGAGTTTCTGCAACTGACTGTTTTGTGCACATTCCTTTTCATCCTATGCTCCTAGAGATGGAGCTCTTGCTTGCTCTCACAGGCTTCTGTCCCAGGCTCAAAATACCTTGCCAGCTACAGGGAATCATTCTTGGCCACATTTCCTGCTAAGAACTCGTGTTCTACAGTTGTATACGTTTCAGAGGGGTGCAAGATGCTGACCCATCTGAGCCATCCTCTTGAGCACCACAACCACCTTAAACAGGGGCTGGAAGGGTTTCTTGCTGCTCTGACATGAATTGGCATATCCAGAAATGGGAGCCCCTCTGACTGCATGGTCTGAGGAGCAGAAGCACCAAACATCATGGTCTGGGAAATGAAACATTGAGAAGAAGGAAGAACCTTCCCACTGTCATCCTGACATAGGTGTTACTGAAATGAATGCTGCCACCTCCCACACTTGGACAATGGAAGCACATTGTAAGTGCACAAGATCTGCTGGAGAGGTTTGCACTGTTGAGTAGCAAATCCTCTCAAGATGTCTGTTACAGCAGAGCACAGTCACTGCTTATTTGGGATGGGGCTGTTCCAAATCAACGAACATTCAACACCAAAATTGGTATTCTCTGCAGCCTATACTGGGGCCCTGAGGAGCTCTGCAACAGGTTTCAGTGAAATTGATTGCTTCACTTAATACAAAGGAGATTGTACTGCAAACATGGCAACAGGGTATTCTACATAACAAAAGCAAACAAGTTGTTTTTACATTATAATATTGAAATAAAAAATAATAATAATTTCTTACCCAAACTTTCCTGGAGAATTTTTCACAGCAGACATTGACACAGATTTTCCTGTTTTCTTCATTATATCTGAAGAGGTCTCTGCAGATCATTATTTTTGAAATTTACTTGCCATAAAACATGACAATCTACACAAATTCTCAAACCTCAGAAATGTAGGGATCAAAGATACTGATACAAGGAGTAGTATTATCATTCACAGGTTATATTACAAATAACTTTTAAAATAACTTCAAAAAAATCTTCTAAACATAGATTGATACCATCTATGATTACCAGTAGCAATGGGTCCTAGAAAACATATTATGTGGTATCCTGCTTAGAGGGAACTATTTTAGGGAGGTGGTGATGTTAATTTTAAGGCTGAATCAACAAGGGCATTTGGAACAAACAGCACACACAGCTTTGTACCTCATCTAAATGGACTTAAGGTAAAAAGGATGGAGTAATTCTCAAAATTGAAGATTAAAGGTTATGGACTTCTTTATGGGCAAAAAGAACCTCAAAGCCAGACTGTATATTTTAGGTTTATATAAATAGTTCTGTTTGAGGACCTCTAACTGAAAAGGCATTTGGGTCCCTCCTGAAGACCCAAATTAAAACCTCTGTGCATACAATCCACACAATGGAGCAATTTAATGACCAGGAAAGCCATTCACTATCAACAACATCCACTTGGAAATTTTTGTCCTTTCTCATTTATAGCAAGTGTGTGGAAATGAGTTTAGGATTTAATGTCAGGACTTGCAAAGAAAAAAAGCCCAGCAAAAAAAGTAAAACTTTAAAATTCTACATTATTCTATCAGAAAACTGGATTCTGAAGCCTAGCATCTGTTTTAAAAATGCCTCCCCCACCTCAAATACCTTAGAGTTATAAGAAAAACATAAATGTGACTAAATTAACTCTTTGCCTGGCTTACGTTTGTCTTTTTGTCCTCTCTCCAGAAGTGCTGACACAGAAGGTGTTAATGTTGGAGTCCTTTTCTCAGTCAGTGGTTGCTTGTCCTAGTAAAAAAAGATGCACAATCACCACACAACTCTAGCAAGGAGCTTGTAGACCCTAGTGAAAACTCCCCAAATTGCTGTTGAAGCAGTGCTAGGAAGGAACAGGCCTTGTGAGAGGTCCACCCTCTCACATTTGCAAGCCATTTTTCCTGCCCCAAATAGATAAAAAGAGTAAAAAGATTTTTCAACATCTTAAAGAAATAAAACTAAAACAAAATCCCCCCAAACCAGCAGTACTCTCCTAAAGGAACTATTTATTTTCTTTTCTATAACAGAACAGGATCTCACTTCAAAACACTGATGACTAGCTCTACTTTTCTGATTCCCCCAAGAGGTTCTGCCCTTTGGCCTTGTGTCTAGTGACCAGGGAATAGCAAACCTTCCAAGAGCAGGGAGCCCTAAATGACAGGAAGAGCTTTCTCAATGTACTGCAAAAGCTGCCAGGTTTCTGATTCTCTACAGCTGTCACCCTGGAATATAACTGCAGAAGAGTCTGAAGAAGTTGTTGTCCCAAGTTTTTTGTACTGTCATATTCTGTCACTTTTTTAATCAGAAAAAGGACTCCAGTTATGGGCAGCTCCTAGATGATATTCAGTATGTGTCTTGCTATAAGAGTTTATCAACTTCCCTGGAATTTCAAGTCTTATATTAATATAGGTCTTTAATGACCACAAACTACAGTTTAGCAAATCTGCTTCCAGGACAAGACAAGTGTGACTGTGTTTTTGCTTACCAAAGCCTTTCTGGTGGAGTTTGCAGCATGGCAGCCAGCTTTTTCTTCACAAAACTCCATGTCCCTCTGTTGTGTAAAGCTTTGAGAGCAGCATGAACGTTCAACTGACAGTAAGAAAGAACAGCTTGTGTCAGTTTATACACTACAGGAGAAGAATTCCCCTGCTTTACTGGAGCACTCAAGATGCAGTTCAGCACCTGGCCCCACCAGCAGGTGTATTTCCATCAGCTTCCAAAGGACAAACTTAGTAGAACTACAAAACCTTCCTCTAGAAAAACACTTGGGACATTAAAATGTATGCTTATGGTATTAACCCAGCAAACAGCAATTGCTTTTCAGGAATAAATCCTGGGGATTAATAAAAGCAGATTTTATTATCTTTGTCCTAGTCCTATGCATTCCCAGCCTCACAATTAACTAGTCTGAGCAGAGCTCCTCGAGAAGCACATGAATATCCAGGCCTCTGGCTGCAGGGAGTGTCTGAGTCTGGTGTTAAGTGCTGGAGGATAGTGGGGAAAGACACCTGCATGCACTGTGAACAGCTGGATGATCTGCTCAGCCTGGTGGCAGAGCTTAAAGAGGAGGTGGGGAGGCTGGGAAGTATCAGAGAGTGCAAAAGAGAAGTAGACTTGAAGGATCGCACCCTTCCATCCCTGAGAGAAATGCAGTGGATGGAAGATCAGCAGGAGTTTGAGGAGCTCGGCCTCTCTTGCCATCAAGCTGAAGAAGAGACATAAAAGCAGGGAAACGGAAGCAGATCCCTGCTCAGGGAGGCAGAAGAATCCCCTGCTGGCTTCCCTTGCCTTCCCAGGGTTTCTTACAGAATAGGTGTGAAGCCTTGGATCTCGAGGGTCAGGCAGATGACAGTGGAGAAGATCTGTCTGGGGGGTGTCCCAGATCAATGCAGTCAACCAGATGGATAACAACCACAGGCAATGGTTGTTGTGGGTGCCTTGCTTCTGAGGGGAACCGAGTGTCCTGTATGTCAACCAGACCCATAGCACAGGGAAATCTGCTCCCTGCTGGAGCCTGGGTAAGGGAAATTACCAGGAGACTCCCTGGACTAATTCAGCACACTGATTACCACACCCTAGTGATTGTCCAGGTGGGCAGCAACAAGGACATTCGGTCATAGGTTGGAATCAATGAACTCAAGAGTTTTTTTCAAACCTAACTGATT